CAGCGACCGAGCCAGTGCCGGCTTGGTGAGGAAAGCGGGGAGGTGATGTTACGTACTCGAGGGTAGCGCAGGGGGAAGTCTAATCTAAGGTGAATGTCGAATATACAGCATCCTCTTGAGGAAAGGGCTTGGAGAAGCCAGACAAATGAAAAACCAACAAATAGGTCAGTCAGCAGAGGGCTTTTTTAGAAAAATGGTTTGCTAAAGTGTAGAAATGCTGGATGACAAGCAAACTGCCCTTCTGTGACAGCTGTTTGTTTTGCACATGTACCATTATCATCTAAGTTAAGACAGTCCTTAGGAAGTGATTTAATTCCAAGTCACACAATCTTAAATGCCAAGCTTCAAAACAAGTCAATGCAAGATTAAATCCCAGGCTTCTAGTAAAGCCATAAATTTATGGGTTGTTACACACAAAAAACTTACAACACTGGTCCTTCACTTTGTAAACAGCGATACAGCTTTTCTTGCACAACTGATGGGCAGCAGAAGCAACATTTGTGTGTGTGTAGAGTGGTGGCTACACTTGTGAACCTGTTGGTGTTCTTGTCAGGTAATCTCTACAGCAGGCACATCCAGATAGATGGAGAGATGTTGGCTATTCAAGTGCAAGATACTCCAGGAGTTCAGGTGAGCTAGCTGCAGCCGTGCAGTTCACCAAAGCAGCTCTAAGCCTGCATGTGCGTGTGCCTCTGTGCAGCATCTGGTTATGGTCCGTTTCGGAGCTTGGTGTTCTGTGTGGGAGAGGTGGGAACTTATGTTATAACCAGTGAAGCCAGATGTGTTATGTGCCTGCAGCGTGCTGGTAGTAAAAGAAAATATTGTTTTGGCGAATCATTTGTACGCTGCAGGCCCATTACTTTTGAGTGGCTGAATTACTGAAGTGTTTTGTTCCTGTGTATTTGGAACATTAGACACAAAACCAGAAACACTTCTGTGCGAGTAAGATACATGTAGAAGAAAATGTCATGACTGCTGCCCAACAAGCTTTATCAATGTGTGTGACAGTGAAGTCTGCTGTGTTGTGGCTATGCTCGTTAGTGTGTCAGAAGTTAGTTTTCAATGTATAGACCTGAGTAATGCTGGATTGTTGCCTTTTTGAACTGGGCAGCACTCCAGGTCTAAATGCTTCCAGCTCATATCTTTGCTTCCCCAGACTTACTGTCTAGCCAGTTAATTTCCCATTCTGTGGAACTACAAAGTCTTTCTCTACATGCAGAACTACTCAGGTCAATTTTCCATTTGAGTATAGCAAACTCCAGTGTTAAATTCCAGGTTTTTGCAGCTGAATCAACATATGCATTTATTCGCCATGCTCAGATTAAGTTTGTACTTACAATGTGAAATACAAATATATGTGTCTGAAGCTGTAAAATGCTATTTGTCTTTACAGACTCTTAAAGACAGGTTCTTTTAATCCTTTGGCTTCAGCTATCTAATTGGAGACCATTCGTTTTTCAGATCCATGAACACAGTCTCCATTGTAATGAGCAGTTGAACAGATGCATTCGCTGGGCAGATGCTCTGGTGATTGTCTTCTCCATCACAGACTACAAGAGCTATGAACTACTCAGTCACCTTTACCATCACATTCGACAGCTGCATCCAGGAAACGCAGTCCCTGTTGTCATTGTAGCAAACAAAGCTGATCTCTTGCATATTAAAGAGGTGGAGCCTCAGCATGGACTTCAGCTGGCCAACGTGCTGGGCTGTACTTTCTATGAAGTATCTGTCAGTGAAAACTATAATGACATCTTCAATGCTTTCCATCTCCTCTGTAAAGAAGTCAGTAAACAGCAAACAACCAGCACCCCTGAGAGAAGGAGAACCTCTCTTATTCCACGGCCTAAATCGCCCAACATGCAGGATCTGAAGAGAAGGTTTAAGCAAGCTTTGTCTGCCAAAGTGAGGACTGTCACTTCTGTTTGACAGCAGAGCTGTTGGGTCTTCCCAATGTTTAGCCTGAGATTGAAACCTGGGGTGTTTAACACTGGCACATCTAGAGTTTGAGGCAGTGTGACAGAAGGATGGTTCGGGTAGCCTTTTGCATGGCTGTAGAAGTTTTTAAGCGGTTGCTTAAAAAAGGAGCAGTGGCAGATTAGTAAAGGAAAAAAAAAAACCCCAACCAAAACTCTTGAAAGTTCTAGGATGTGACTTGCAGAACAACTATTTTCATTTGGAAAAGGAACTTTTCAGTAAATGAAATAAGCTTTCAGTTTGCCTCTTCTCCAGTCGGACAGATTTGGCTTTCATTTGTGCAGAAACAACCTTTTAGCTGTAACCCAGCTTGTACTTGAGCAGGGAAACACCCTGGACTGCAGTTCACTGTTCAGAAGTAACCACTTGAGTTTTGTTTTCACATGGATGGACAGCATGATGTATCTGTTCAATTTTATTGCACAGTAGAACTGTTTATTTCCCATGTATTTCAAAACAAATAAGCAAAGATGGAATAGTTCTGTAAAAATATGTGTAAAATAAGTGGACATGACTGGGTATCAAGACTGCAAACAATGGTCCTTTATTTTTGTACTAGCTATGTTATTGCTGACGACTTGACCAGACTCTTTGTATGTGAAACTCTTGTCCGCAGGGTGTAAACGTATCTAATTACAAATAACTTGTGGGCTTTTTTACTGTCTGAAAAAAATAACTCTCCAGACTAAATGATCCAACATGGAGCTTTTGAGACAGAGTGTGGAGTTGGAGTGAGAGTCCATTACAGCTGCCAGCGCAAGACACTTCCCTCTGCGTGCAACAGGCAGAGAAGGAACGCGGCTGTGATGCAGCTCTGTGTGAAGCACGGCTGGCTCCAGGCAATGAAGCTGGTGGTTTGTTCTGAGCTGAGCCAGTCCCTCTTCATCCTTAAACACATGAGACAAATTTATACGTATATAAGTTGGTTGTTTTTTTTACATTGAGCCAATGGAGTCCACAGGCTAAAGGCCTTACACACATGCACTTTAAAAAGCCAGTTGTGCTTTTGTTTAAACTGTAACTTATTTATTTTGTGTACAGTTACTCCTCCTGGGGAGTGGACTTTTCATTCTTACTGCCTGGTTCAACATTAAATTTTTGAATTGCATGTTTCCTTGTGTGTTCTTAGTGGGTGAGAAACAAGGGGCAATAACCAGTGCAATGTTGAGACAAAGCAATAGTTTTCTCAAGGTAGTTAACATACATTGCAGAAACAGTCAGAAGGCCTTTCCTGCCTATACTGTTGCTTTATTAGCATAAACCACAGGGGGGGGATCTCTCAACTGCTTTACAATTTCCTTTTAAGAAATTCTTTTAGGAGAGGAAGTGAATAAGGCAGAGACTTTTCAAATTAAAATGGGATTCTTCGTTTCTCCTTGTCAAAGAAACTCCAGTGGGAAAGCAATGATGTGAAGTAGGAATAGGTAAAAATCTCAAGAACACTTGAGTGTGACTGCCACTTTCTTAAAAAAAGAGTGTTATGAATTGAGCTATATCACAACAAAGAGCTTAATCAAATGACAAGTCTTCAACTATTTTATTCATGTTTAAAGTAGCTTTACTGGATTTGTGCTGGGACTAGGGTGACTGCTGCATGGGCTTACCTGGTCAGTGCACAGCTGCAATACCTGTTTTTTAGGGAAAGCCTGGCAAGGTTCTGATGATGATAATGTCTTTCTGACCATGAGCTTCTTAGGACTGGACTTGCAAACAAAACTAAGCTTGCTCTTCCAGTCTGAGCTTATTACCAAATACTGCTTAGCTTATTAATACAGTAGTAAATGTGTTTACCAAGGGTGGCTTTTTGTTCTCTTACCTTTTGAGCATCGTTCAGTGTCACTCACTGCTCAGAGGCTCCTTGCTCTGATTCTGCACCTGCCCAAGCAAAGTCTCTTGTGCTGTTCCTGCTCACATGTGACTAGCAGGAGACCTCTCATCCCCTTGGCCATTTCCCCAAACATAGCCTATGTGTAGCTCCTACAGCTATTTCCTACAAATAAGGGCCACTGAAAAGACTCTGCTTCAGTCTTGGTCTAAAAGAGGAGCAGGCTTTTGTGACCACCTTCTTTCATGTCTTCAGCTACTGAGTATGAGATGGTGGCTGAGTCCCAGCATCCACTCCCACAGCTGTGGCCCCACTGGCTAAAAGATTCCTCCAAAGTGTAGGCCTGGAAAACTAGTCTCTGCCTCGGAAAGTGCAAGGGAACCAGTGTCTGCTTAGACTCACCCCCTGCTTCTCACCATCCTATATAGTACGTCCTTTGATGGCCAGGTCAGAGATCTGAGAGCATCTGATGAAAGACAGGTGAGGGCAAGAAGACCACAACTGCCAGCTTCCATCACCTCAGGAAAGCGGCAGCATCTCAGAGGTGTGAGTACCTGAACTCACTGGCCAGCAATGGCCGCTGGAAATAGGAGCATCTTTCTGCTACCAGCCGTGTGTGGAAGCCCCTCTAGGACACCTCCCAAGACAGAAGGTCTAGGTTCTTAGGGGCAATCAAATAATGCAAAAGAAAAATGGGTCACAGGAATACACAGTCCCGGCACATGTAGCCCTGTGTAGTAGGAGAGAAGGAGAAGACAGGTGAGGTTCGGCATTGTAAGCGCACTGCTTTATTGATTACAGAATTTACAAAACATACATATGCTAAGATTAAACAGTACAGAAAGACAGAAAAGAAACCAAGAGACTGTCTGTTTGCTTTCCAGTTGCTCTGTTCAAACTGTTTCTTGAGCTTTAAATATTGCAGTCTCATCATATTTCTCATTTTTTATAGCACAAATATCCATTCTATAGTCATTCTCATAAACCTCTCTTCCACAGAGGCAACATTGTCCATGCTTTATAATGGGTCCATTGTTTCCTTCTAGCCACTCAAAAGTGAATTTAAATCAAAATGCACCCTTTTCTGAAGACCATTATAAACATTTGAGAGAACTTAGGCTAGCTAGTGAACAAAGGTTAAAAAGCGACTTCCCATTGAATATATTCCTTTAGCATAATATAGAATGCCACTTATAATTTCACATTCTCATCTCGGTGCAAGCTGTAGTCCCAGCATCCCTTGGATGAAACAAGACGATGCAGCTTTAGAGCTTACCATTTTATGTTGCAATTCGGAAGTCTTGGTGCTATACGCAATCACAATCTCTATCGGTTGCTGCTTTTTTATCACAGATTGTATCAAAGTTTTATAAGGAAAAATTACATAACTGAATTTGACAGTGGCTCTTTCATGGTCATAAATTAAAAATAAAATCTGTTCTCCAATCATGCTGTTCAGAAATCTAGCTCAAGAAAGAATCTGTTGCTGCGGCCTCTTGAAAATAGGATCGTGCTTTTTTTTCCTCTTTTTTTTTTATATGCATGTGAGGGGAGGATTCTTTCAGGGTTATCATCAAACCATCACAGCCCATATGTCCTCCTGCGCAAACCTACAGAGAAGTGTGCCATCAGAAAGGGTCTTTTCTCCCGGAACTGTGGGTGGAGAAACTAGATCAAGAAATGGGAAGCTGAGAGAGAGGCAACCATGTAACCCAGCCCTTGAGTCTGGCTCTCTGCTTCTCTGCCTCTGCCAGTCCTGCTGGGAGAGCATCATCGGACTGGGGGCCGCTCTGCCAGCTAAATCAGGGCTGTGCTCTATCGCCTCTCTGGGGTGAGGGACAAAAGTAAGAGCAGAGGTGGTTAGCACTGTATAAGGCACACATGTTTTGCAAGGTAACATGACAGAGAGGGTGGATTTTGCTAGCCTTCCACTCCCTCAGCAGCATTTCCCACCAGAAGCAACCCCAGCAAAACCCTCAGGAAGAGAGAAAAGTACTGCTTGGGGAGTACAAATTCAGCATCACCTGGTCCTCAGCTGCTCCTTTTCTAGGGAATTATTACAAGTGATCATCCTTGCCATGCAAAGCAGGGCTGGGGTGAGTCAGCACCGCACAGTGTCACTATTAAGGAGGGGGGAGCTGTCACTGGACAACTGGACTGTTTTGAAGAGCTGCTGGTGAGCTGCACATGGTCCCTTGCAGCCAGATACTCAGCTGCTTCACCCTGTTTCAGCTGGAGCCATAACTGCAGCAGGGGACATGCCATTTTTTTGGAAAGCTATTGGGAAGAGCGACAGACCAGGGATTTGAGGTTTCCAGCTGAGGCACTCACTCATCTCCTCCACAGATCCTCCCTTGTCAGATGTCGGTGTCAGGCTGGAGACGGTCTGTGGCAAACAACAACTCAATAGCACTTTGTGGTGTCAGGAGTGCGGAGGACAGCACAATTACCTGAAAGAGGGGGGACAAGAAACAAGTCAAAACGAAGGGGACTGAGATGGATCGCAGCACTAATGAGCTGTGGATATGAACTGTTTGCTTCACCCAGCGCTAGACAGCCTGTGTGTTTCTGGTGTTTTACTGACAGGGCAATACAACCTGCCCAGTGAACAGTGTCTGCTCACTAATAACTGTAGTTAAATCACTTTAAGGAGCATAATGACTGGTAGCATTGTACTCTTAATGAATGTGTGCTTTGACTCATTTCTACCCACATCTTACCTAGTGATTTGTTGTGACTGCCATTGTTTACTGCACCAGCTGGTGGAGCAGGGGTTTCCTCTCTTATAGCACAGTTCTGAGTGATGGCTGTTTCCTCTCAGTTGAAGGTAAGGCGAGCACCACAGCAGTGCTGCTGGCCTGCTGTGAGGAGCTGCATTCCCTATTCAGAAATGTCTCTTCAGACCAGGCACAGGCTGTTCTGCACATCAGGACCAAAGCTCAACCTTGAGCACTGCTGGGATGCCATCGCTTTTGTTTGGTCGAGCTTTTAATCCAAGACAGGCCTGATGAATGAAACCGTCGCTCACTACAGCCACAATACACACCCTGCTAGATGCAGATACCTGTTTTTCTTCAGTGAAAACCAGTAAGCAGATACCTAGCGTGAAGTCTCCTCTGCAGGGCAAAGCCATCAGCAAGGAGGAAGCGCATACACGCTTGCTGCATGGAGCTAAATCAGGGTCAAAGTCGCAGGCACTGCTCTTACAAAGCCCTAAGTTCAGTAGCATTCATAGGGTCAGTACTGCAGGCAGGGACACGGGGCCAGATTTATCTTACTAGCCCACTTGAACATGAATTTGCTTCTTCAGTGCAAATCCGAGGACAGGAAGCACAAGCATCAACAATGGAGTATGTCTGTGTGTCCATTTCCTGCAGTAGCTATCAAACCACTTGTGCCCTTCATCGCACAGCTTGAATGTGCGGCACTGCTGCATTTCAACATTTTTGTTGTTCTTTCTTTCATCTTTTCACT